TCCCCCATGGATACTGGGAGCCTAGTGCGTGGGCCCACAATCCCTGCGCCAATTCCCTCCGACATTTTAGAGCCATCTGTGTACCACCTTATAGTACTGTTCCTCAACAACCGCTCGAGGTTGGAGTCGTTCCACTCCTCTTTGCTGCCGAGGGAGACCTTAAACCTCTTCCTTAGGTTTACCTTTTTAGTAGTACTATCCCTCGGGGGGAGGACCAGTGGTAGCTTGCCACTTATCTTCTCCATCCTCCGGGATGACACTATTTTTCCTTTTCCCCACCCCTCTGCCGTTATTTGCAGAAGAGTCTGTTTGGTTGAACATGGTGTTGTCAATAGAAGAGTGGCTTTATATAAAAATAAATTATCCAAACGACTAATAGCTCGTGAAATGGACATAAGTGATTGAAGCGTGCACTTCAATGTCATTAGATCGAAAAAAGGGCAGTGGACGTCCGAAAAAAGTAAAACCTCGTCATGAACGACAAATCAAACGGGTGTGCATTAGTGATCGCTTTCAACATACTAGAGCAATCAATGCAACATTTTACGAAACCAGTGGTGTAAAAATAATTGCACGTTTAATGCAAAATGTCCTTAATAATTTTGGATTACGAGCGCGACGACCAGCCAAAGTCACTTCTCATTGCACGAATGAAGAAACAGCGGCTAGAATGGGCAAAGTCACACAAAACTTGGACTATATCAGATTGGGGAARTGTTATTTTTTCCGACGAATCCAAATTTAATTTATTTGGTCCCGACGGAAATGCCACAGTGGGTCGTAAGGAAGGGGAGCGTTTTTTAGAAAGTTGTGTTTTGCCCACCGTAAAGCATTCACCCTATTTAATGGTGTGGGGGGCTATAACGAAGTTTGGTGTTGGGCAGCTTATTATTCTAAAAGGATCTGTGAATGCCGAAAAATACATTGGAATTTTGAGAGAAGGTGTTTTGCCAACAATTGAACAGCTGTCCGAACATACCCAAAAAGTTTACTTTCAGGATGATTCAGCCCCAACGGTAACTAAAGCATAAAAATCTTGAAATACATTTTTCAATAATTCATTACAAACTCTTACAGGTTATAAAACAGAAAGAGTTTTATGGAATTATGTCTCTCACTTGGCCAGGAAGCAGTCCAGATCTCAATCAAATTGAGAATTCTCCCTAAGAGTATAAAGCATACATTCGAATATTCTTCGAATATATCGCCGCTCAATGCAATCATTGCATTTATCGTGAAAACAAATGAGTCCAGGCACAATACTTGGCTGTTGGGCTTTTTAATATTCTTTATGTACTGGATATGATCTTTTATCCTATTAATTTTTTCAATACAACCTCTTTGTATTGGTCGTCTTCGCCGATTTTAATTGCAAAGCGTCTTGAAATCCAATTCGTCGAAGAGATCATTCATTCTCTTCTCCAGCAGTTGGGTTGCTTTAGCACATTTTTTTAAGCAGCATATCAATTGCTGCGGCGACCGAATTACTAAAAGTTTGCGTAGCTCTCGACACCGATATTTTCTCTAAGTTTCCGAGATATACATGGGAATAATTAATTTTGGGCACATTTTAAAATTAACATTGGCCTGATCTATGGCAAATATTTTTCGGACTACTTTAAACGATGTCAGTCCATCAAGATGCGCCCAATATTTGCCTAAATTTGCATTGTGGGTACCCTGTTCGCGTATTCTAGTTTTAATTTTCAGCCCGATTTCTTCGGAGGCGTTTAAATTGCTATGGTGCAAATTTAGCAATCTTTGACTGCTAACGCCATCTTTTGCCACATAATAGGAAATTACATATTTTTATTTCGCGACTATGTATTTCAACATAAAGAAGCAACGCCGATCACGCTTTCCCGGTGACCTTCTCCATTATCAACGAATCCATCAATCACATCTCGCGCTTTGTTGTACGTCAGATCTTTTCTGATTGAGACTTCGTTGAAAATTAGTTAGCATATGCGTTCTTCTGGTTTCATATCTTGAATAATTTTTTTTAAATTGTTCTGTATTCTCCGTTTTTACGTTGTATGTTTTTAAAATCGGCGGCAAAACCCATTCCGATGACTGCTGGCTACTTTCGTCGAGTCCTAAATTTCGCACAGAAAGAGCTTCATTAAGTATTCGGTGAGAAGATATATCTTTTTTGTGAAAATGTTTTTCACATATGAATAAATTTTTCTTTAATGGTAACTAAAGATTGCAGGCCTTTACCCAATTATTCCTAGCAACTTCCGTTTTCGGAAATTTGAACAATTTTTGTCCACCGGCACAGTTGCTAACGCAGCAACTTTTTAGCGGAGGTGCCGATTCGAATAATTGGGTTCGGACCTCATCTATAAATTGCAAATAAATATGAATAAAAATATGTATTATAAAATTTAAATATATAAACAATAAAATTTAAATATATACACATATATATACGGTTGAGAGCATTGAAATAGTAGTGCCTATTATAAAATGATCCACTTTTGCATTTCAATGGCATTCTACATTACTCACAGATAAGTGCATTAAAAGTACACATACTTGTAAGTGCACCCGCAAATAAGAAAATACACACACATACTGGTATTTGCACCCGCAACCAAAAGATTGCAACACACACACGCATTGGTATTCGCACCAAAAGATCACAACACACACACGCAGGTATTTGCACCAAAAGATCGTAGCACATACCCCCACTTGTATGTACTCCCGTAAAAAGCCTCTCGTAGTTGTAAATTCACCCACAACAAATATTACACTTAAATAAAAGAATTGCACTTACCTTGATCCAACGTTGGGACAGCATTCTTTTTGAGATATTTGGGCCAATTACCTCTTTTTAAAAATGTTTCTCACAAATGAATGAGTTGGTGGCTGGAAAGCGGTCTGTGGGAGAACTTTTCAGATTCTCCTTCCACTTTTCAGCCAGCTCCTATTCATTTGGGAAACAGAATAATCGGAGTACCCCACCGCTGGTGCTCCCACACCCGCGCACACTTTCGCACTTTTGGCATTTTCAAATTAATTAATATACAATTCACGATTTAAGCGCACACGTCTAATCAGCGCAAAATTTACAACTTTATGAAAATTGGCGCAATTATTGACACTTCAAGTTTGCAACATATTTACATATGAATATATAATATATTTGATTTTGTCGCAATTATCGACACTTGTCAATTTGCCCAATATATTAGTTGGAGAACAAAGGATGCTAACTTTCATTTGAGAGTAAAGATCAAATACTTATTTACACATGATATAAACATAAGAAGAAGATTTTTACTTACTATGTAAATATTTATTTGATTTTGGCGCAATTATTGACACTTGTCTTAATATACAAAATTGGGCCAAAACGAAACAATGAAATACATAATTACATGTCAATATGGATATGCCGACGGCAAAACGCAAAGGCATACATTGCACATATGTACATACAAGCGATTTCTTGGTTGAAAGCAAAAATTGAAGCATGAGAAATTGAAATGCCGACGGCAAAACGAATTCCTTATATTCGTACATTGCGTATGAATCATGAAAATATCATCATAATGTTTAGGAAAATCTTTTATTCATTCAAAATGACTTATTATAAAATAAGATCAAATTAACTTAAATAATTTGAAAAATTATAAGTCAAAAATAAAAAACTTCTACATAAATACATACTTCCATACAAAATAGAACATATTTCCTATGGAATATCAAAGAAATTATTTTTCTTCAATATTCTCTGTTTGCGAGTATCATTATGGACATGCAAGTTAATACCAGAGAACTTAAAACATAGAGAAGGTGCAGGTTCGATGTCGAACAWTTTATRAGATTGTGATAGGGAATTCACCTCACAACCACAGAATTCACGATGTGAAATGTTAACATTTTTAACAGTTCTCCACATACTCAAACAGAGAAAATGAAGAGAAATAATATATGATTTACGGCATATGATGCCATGGCATATAAGCCCAAGCAGAGAATATGAAAAGGCATAAATATATGTACATATGTATGTATGCATGCCCATGATCCAGAGGACTTAAAACATTGAAGTTCCATATGTTCCATTTTGTATGGAAATATGTATGTATGTATGTATGTATGTAGAAATTTTTTATTTATTATTTTTTAAATTATTTTATATTAATTTGATCTCATTTGATAATAAGTCATTTTAAATAAATAAAATGTACGAATGTAAGCAATTTCGCGTAGCCGTCGGCATTTCCATATTGACATGTAATTATGTATTTCTTTGTTTCGTTTTGGCCCAATTTTGTATATTAAGACAAGTRTCAATAATTACGCCAAAATCAAATAAATATTTACATATTAAGTAAAATCTTTTTCTTACATGTTCTTTGCATATGTATATGATATGTAAATAAGTATTGAGCTTTGCATACAAATGAAAGTAGCCATTTATTTCCCCTACTTATATATTGGCCCAATTGACAAG